TTTTTCCACACGAACTTATAAAGTAGCCATGTATCAAGCCTTGTGGAGATCAGCTTCTTGAGCAGATCAAAGTGGAACTCTAATGCGGCAAGGGGGCATTGGGAAAACATTATTTGCGACGAATATTGCCCCCAGTTTAAGAGCGATTTTCAAAAACTTGCCATGTAAAGGAAATGTTGGATGATTACCCTGCCACAGTCGTGTCCGGGATGTTAACATGACCAACCGTTCGAGACTGCACTGAAGGTTGCACCCTAGCCTGGAAAAAGTTCTGAAAGACTTTAAGTTTGAATATGATGCAAGAATACAACCCACTACAAACGTTTTCGGGACATTAACATGAACTACCTTTCGAAACCGCAATGAAGGTTGCCCCCCACATCAAAGAATGCTCCAAAGATGATCTTCAAGATGCAAATAAGGTTCTTTTTCCATTTGTATGATTTAAATCATTGGGAAATGAAGTTGTGGCTTGAAATCTCAAAGTTGAAGACAATATCGAATGGTGCTTTGTTTTCCACAGATGACACTAAACTGATATGTGCTAAAAAATTCATGGTTGTAGAGCAATGGATTATTGTTTTAACATCACACGAGAATTTAACACGCACTCAGATAAAATAAAATAATCAGTAGAGATATCAGAATTTTTTATTTGGAAAACCTAGAAAAGGAAAAATCACGGGGTCTAACCTAGTTGAAGAGTTTCACTACAAAAAGATGATTACAGTTGAAACCATTTATCCCACAAACGTGAAAGAGTTGCTAGATTTTTCAAATTATAACATTAACGTGTTGATGAATTAGTTGATAGTAACGGATGGCGTTCGGTCGGTGATGGTCGACGATGGTTGTCGGTGATCGACGACGGTCGACGGTGGTCAGTGGAACATCAACGGCGGTCTGGGCAGTCGGCGGCGGTCGGAGGCGGTGAACGACAGAGGTCAGCAGTGGTCAACAAAGGTCAGTGGTGATTGACGACGGTCAACAGTGGTCGACAACGATTAGCGAAAGTTGGTGGTGATCAACGGAGGTCAGTGATGGTCGTCGACGATTGACGATGGTGGTGTTAGACTTCAGCTATTTCTCAAAGCTTCAAACTCTTCCTTAGATCTCAAACTCTCCTCCCTCTCATGAGAGGGGGTTGAGGCTCTATTTATAGAGTTCTAAGTGCAATTACTGCAGAAATATGAACCACTTTAATCAGACGGTCTAAAGAGTTTTCTTTGATCATACGGTATTTGATGGACATTTGAGTGTTTTAACGATGTCAGAACTGAACGATTTTGAGCTTGTTGGATTTTTCTTGTCAGGGCGTTCGATTCGACTATATGCTCATCGAATTCAACATCTGCTTGAACTTCCAAATATGCTCAGAAAGCTTTTGAAAGTGATTTAATGGCTTGATCTGAGCTTGATCTGACTTGGATTAGAACAATTTTAGTATCATCAGATTTGTCTCATCGAGTCGTGCAGTTGACTATAAGGCTCCGTTTAGGGCCGCTTTTTTCACGCGGCGCGACCCCAAACCGCGAAGTTTTTTTCCTGTTTGGCTCCTAGCTTCGCGGCCGAAGGAAGCCAAAGCGAGCAGAAAGTCGACCACGGTATCGACCCTTGCGGCCCAGCTTTCGGCTCGCTAATGTTCCACATTGCCCCTGTTTTTGGCACAAACAAGCCCTCTACCCTAGCGTTCTGCATGGTGTTCCCGCGTCGTCTGGCCATCTCGCCTGGTGTTCCCGACCCCACGCCTTGTTCTTCCCGACCCCACGCCTTGTTCTTCCCGACCCCCGTTCTTCTTCCCGACCCCACGCCTTGTTCTTCCCGACCCCCGTTCTTCTTCCTGACCCCGCAGCAAAGAGGAGCAAAGTAGTTGAAGTTCACAATTTGTCGGAAAAGGTGGCAATTTTGTTTATTGATTTCCTGTTTTTGGTTTTTCTTTGATTTTTTAAACCCTTCGAGCTTCATGCTTCCTTGTCAGAGGAGAAGTCAGAGGAGGAGAAGTAGAATAAATGAGAAGATGAGAGTGTTGCAGAATTTGATTCCTAATTCTAACAAGTTTGGTAATTGCTTTTACATTTGATTTTGGAAATGTTTTGTTTGGCTATTTTTTCTTGATTTGCAGCAGTGCTCGAGATATCCTAATTTTTTTTCCTTAGTTATGTGAACCATGAATAGTGATCCCTAAGCTTATTCTTTTTAGTGGATCGAAATGTAATTTTTAACTGTGATCTAATCTGACTTGTTTTTGGTTAACCTGCATTTTAGATTTATCAAAAGTTTTGTTGCCACGTATGTACATCAGGCACTACTATCTGTATTTACTTATTGACCATTCTTCTTTGTAGTCAATATCATAGATAACTTTTTCTGTTTTTGAAGTTCTCACGCCTTTGTTCTGGAATGGAAAGCAGAGTATGCATCATTTGAAAAATTTACATTTGTAGCACACAATTCTTATGGATTTACATCTATCATTCCTAAATTTTCATATTATATACATAGCATTTGGTGCTTTAACCTATGCATGGATTAGTGTACTTCACTTTTAATAAGTAATAATAGTGCTAATTTTGATGTGATATTAAAGATTTGAGTTGAGAGCAGCAGCAGGCAACCAAAAACTTCATAAAATTGAGTTCTCGTACTATCCATAAGAGAGTTTCCTCTAACCAAGGATCTTATGGTGTATCACATGAATGTTTTAGTTATAACTTCAAAAACGTTTGCATAGGTTCGTTCAAAAGCTTTGGGAATTTCTGTGTGCTTGATGGCGAGCCATTATTTTTTTCTGCTTTGGGAATACCTGTGTTCAAAAGGCAGTAATGTTTTGGTTCTTCAACTTGTTATTGTTGAAATCATTTTATCCTTTAGTTATTTCTAAACGTACTATGATAAGACTGTATTGTCTTTGGAAATACGTGTCAAATTTAGGCTAGTAATATAGCTATGTGTGTAAACTTTTTTCCTCCAAATTTGTCCCCATCTTATTGGGTTAAAATTTAACACTAAAGTTGTTTGATTTTCCAAATTCAGCTATATAAATTTATTGGTGTTTCATGAAGTCACATCAGAAGCCCATTAGAAAATCTATGTAGAAATTTCTTCACTTGGTATTTGATGGAAAGGATGAGAATATTAATAAGATCGAACAAAGGCTCTTTATTTTCACCAATTACAAATGCATGGTGATTTGAAGTTTCTATAATGAAATTCTTAAAGGCTTTTTCTTCTTTGTTTTGTTTTCCTTAAAAGTATCAAATTTATGGCTTCCGAGATTGGCTAAAAATTGTAGAAGTCTATCTTCTATATTTTTAGCTTGTAAAGTAAATTTTTGCTTCTGTTTAATAATATATAAGGCTGTCATTATTCTGTTCCAAACAATTTAACTAAGCAGAGACAGACTTGTCATTTTTTCAGAAACAGCTGCCCCACAGGTGGTTTCACACAGCTGCAACAAACAACTTGTTCCCCGCAGCAGTTTCCTCACAGCAGCTTCCTGGGGCAGCACAACTGCAACTGAAAAGCTGGAAAGCTGCAACTGCGCCAAACAGAGCCTAAGTTTGTTGAAATCGGAGCTCTGGATGACTCCTAATTGAAGTTTGAATGTTTATTGCTAAAAAATTGTATTGAGATCTGTGTCATACCTCGAGATTCGTGTCAGATAATGGAGATTAGTTGGAGGCATATCACAAGTAAATGAGCTTGTCAATGAAATAATATTGTGAAAAAAGACTGTTCACGATCATTAAAATATTTTTCTCTGTCCTAATTTATACGTTTGAGTGAACTCAAAACAAGAAACTACATCAAATTTATACAAATCTGCTAAGAAATAACAAGTTTCAATTTAATTTTCTTGAAATCCACAGGTAAAAATTCTTTCATTATTTCCACTTGAAATTGTCTAAGAATTTGGACAAGAAGTGAACTTTTGTTTTCAAAATTTTCACAATCGAAAGATCCAAAACAATAGCAAAGAGCTAGAGTTGTGATAGCATGAAGATTACAATTGTAGCAGAGTATACAAGTGAAGTGACAGCTAAAAACTTGAAGTCAGCACTAAATAAATATATTGGAGGTGAAAACTGAGGTGGGGTGTCAAAAAGCAACATGTCACGTCCCTCACGTGGGTTTTTTCCGCAACTGAAGACCAAGTGTGATGCTTCGGGTCATGTGAGTGAGGCAAAACCAAATCAATGCCGCTCCATTTAATTTCTAACCAAATTTTGGCATTTTTCTTGTATCCTCCATTATTTTCAAGTCATTGTTGTATATAGATTTGAAAGGCAGTTTTTTTGTGTTTTCTGTCGGGACAACCGTCGGTGTCTCTTCTCTTATTCGAGAGTTGTATCCTAGGATTCCGGGTGATGCTTTAGTTGTATCTTCCCTATACCCTTTCACGTCCCTCCCACTTGGCTGCCGCACCTCCATCCTCGTTGTAGGCTACCCCGACAGCAGCCCTTTTGTTGTTTTCCTGCATATTTCCTCTGTCCAGCCCTTCCTACTCGCTGCCATTGCTGCTCCAGTCCTCCACCTTCTCTGCCACTGCTGTTCAGCCCTCCTCATTGTTGCCGCCACCATTTCAGCCCTCCATCCTTGCTGCCATCACCCAGGACAGCCCTCCCAGATCGCTCTCTTCTGCTTACTTGCTCTCGGCACTGGGAAACAGCTGCCTTACTGTTTCTAACTGCCAACCGCCTTTATCCACCCTCACGCTACCTTCCAAACCCTCGCCCAGAACCCCAGATCAACCCCTAGTTGAGTTTGTGTTGTCAGTTGTTGCAATTTCAGATTCCCAAATGTTGATTGTAATTTCCTATTTGATTTTCGTAATAAAATTCAGTTTTCCAATTGTTATTTGGTTTACTCCGGTGTCAAAGAAACATATCGATGAGATAGTGGAAATAGGAGGACAAGTACGCAATTTGCGGAGCATAAATCAAGTGCAAGGCATAAGGCGGTAACAATGACCTAGAGCAAAATAAAGACAAAAGACTTACAAATTTGCATTAATTTTGCGCCTGACTTCTGACGAAGTTCAATTCCACTCATGTAACTTAGCCGCAAAGAGCTCAAACAGAGGAAACGCAACGACAGAATTTGAAATTCAGAGCTAAAAAGGAAAGCATTTATGAGAGACAGTAAAAATTAAATGAAAGCTAGTTACATTGCTAAAACAACTTGGATGGTAAACATGATGTTAAGGAAAATGAATCAACTGAATTTAAAAAAAAAAAGATACAGAACCGTTCACAAAAATAAGCAGATAAAAAATTGCAACGTAATATTAAGTTGCCCCCTTTTTGTAGTGCTAGAAAATAATCAATACGAGCAAAAGATTCACAGATATGTACTTACAGGAGCAGCATAAAGCAAGATCCCACCTCAACGATATGCTAGGTCTAAAATAATCAATCTAGTTTATTGGATTTATAAATATGAATGACAAATGAAAATGTAACAGGTTAGTTAGGCTGCAGCATATTGAAGTGATGAATATAATATGATCATTCAGTAATATCATAATGCTTTGATTAGATGTACAAAAGGTTGTCTTTGGCAGGGCCAGCTTGTCAAACAAGCAAGATTTGAACGACAAAAACCAGTCCCTGCTACTGCCTAATCCAATATAATAAAACAGAACAAAATACAGATCATTTAAGAGAAATGGATGAATTTACTAGGTAGATATTTTTATTTACCTATATAATCATATAACAACATTAATTCTAATCACCATCTATAATTGCACGCAAAATTTCACTTACACCACATTAATAGACATGAAAGTCATTAAAGCAGTGTCTGAAAACTTTTCATGGCGTAACTGATCAAGCATCCCTTGTGACCATTTTGATAATCCACCGGAAGCACGGAAATACACATGAACCATCAAAAGTGCATCATTATCAACACATGAGTGCCGTCTAGGTGGAAGGACAACCATGATGTTGACCATCCAGCCTCCCTTGTTTGTACTTTGAGTTGAACTCATTCAAGCCCTTCACTCTTATTTTTATAGCCTTAGTTTTCTCCACTTGGTTAAAATTGGCTCCGGCAGGAATAGCCATGCTAGCAACTGTGGATATCTTTTTTTGACTCTGAGAGGCACTGAGCTTTGTATGTGGTTTTTTCCTCTTATATGTTATAGGAAACATGTGACTTTTTTCAACGCCTTCACCATCCTTTTTATCCCTATATGGATGCTCCGAATGGTCAGGATATGCTGGGAAAACCTGATAACCATCTGCAGTAATCATGCTTCTTGATACTGCTTCAGACACATTGGTATGAAATGGCGTTAGCTTCCTTCTGTCATTATCATGAGCTGGTTGGTGTAAGCCGGTAGCAGGTGGCCAGAGATCTCCCTTTTGATGGCCATTAAAGCACTCTCTAAAATCACTCGAGTCATCAGAGGGCATTTTCATGCCTCTTACTATTGTCATCTTTCTCAAAGAGCTCTGTGCACTGTCAAATTGTCTAGAACCAATATTTAGAGTATCCTCACTCTGTCGATCATTAGTAAGTTCACATGTTGGAGATCCCTTATAAACACTTCCAGCTCTGACAAACTTATGCACGTAATTTAACTTCTTAGAAATATTTTCATCTTGCCATTTGGATGTAGAACGTGAAGTGGAGGGTTTAGAAGCTTGAACACCAAATACACTAGGTGATCCCTGCTCAGGAGGACCCATGGCAGTCCTTGGTCTTTCTACTAGACTAGTGTGATAGACTTTAGGTTTTATCCTAAGTACACCTTTTGGCGGCCGCCTAAACGGTTCTGAAGACTCTGTAGGCAAAGATTGAACAACTCGCTTTGGCAACGAGTTCATCTCAGGAGGCTTTATTTTCAAAACACCTTTAGCCTTTGTTCTGTTGCTCAATGCCAATTTGTTCAAATCCATTGCAGGAATATGAGTGATCGCCTCTTCCTTCATAAATGTTGGCTTCGTCAGTGCTGGAAGTCCCATAACCTTTTTAACACCCCTGGATGAAAGCTCCTCATCATGGGGAAACACATTGAGGTCAACCAAAAGAACCGGCTTTTGTTTTTTCTTATTTTTCAATATTTGAACACGTTCCTCAACACTAGTGCTAGGTTCGCAATTGCTCCAGGCCTTTTTCATCTCCACAAACTTCTGAGATAAACTGTCATGATAGGATCTCAAGGAATGGTGATATCCTCTTTCCTGTAAGAATCTCAATCGTTCTCTAAAGAAAGTCACTTGCAGCGAATAAAATCCGCCTTTAAGTCTACAAAATAGTATTTCCAAGGGGCTTCCAAAAAAAAGATTGCCACCACCAAGCAATTCTATCAATGTAACCTCAAATGTTTCCTGATCCATATCTGGAAGATAAGCAGCAAGATGGAACCTTTCTTCTTCAGTTAAGTACAGATTCCAAGTTTCTAGAGAGAGAATCTCCTTCAAATTTGGGAGTTCATAAAGCTCATAAGGAATATTGGAGGTCTGATCATTCACCAAGGCATGCTCACAGCCAGCATCTGATGTCTCAGAATCATCAGGATCGTCACTATGATCTTTCTCAGATAGTAATCTATCATCTCGAACAAGCTCATAACTTTTTACATGATCATCTTTCCTAGGCCCCTGGCGCCTAATCTTAACGACGCCCATGGCACAAGGGGCCCCCCGAGAAAAAGGAAATAATCATGCGAAATAATGGGAAATGAAAATTAATGTTTCAGCTGCCAAGAAAAATTCCTGCAAAAAAATCAGATGGCTATAAGATAAAGTTCAAACATATACTGCAATGATTACAGCAGACATAAGATAGACTAAAATAAAATAGGACATTTACATACGTACCACCCAATTCCTATATATTTACATATGTAACACCTAAACTTTGATGTCTACATTTATACAACCTAAATCTTTCATATAACATAAAAAATAACATCATTTAACAATTAAAAAGTGAAATATACCTTTCATAAATAGGTAAGATGTTATGTATGTAAAAATTGAAGTTTAGGTGTTAGACAAGTAGATAAATTAGAATTCAGTGATATGCATGTAAGTCTTCCAAAATAAAATTGAAGGCTCGCAGTTAATTTCATCTAAACTTGGCATCTAATGCTAAGAATGAGTAAACAGTTAATAAAACTGAAGCAACGGAATCAAAATCCTGTATGCGCAGAAGTAATGGATCTCGTTTCTTAAACAGTGATCAAAACAATGACATAGGCTTTTGGAATTTCTTCTCCATAAGGAAACACAAGCACTTGAGGTGTTTAATTGAGAGATGATGATTATCTATGTTTATCTGAACAGATCTGAATTAATTACTAGGAACTGTGCATTTATAACTTCAACTGCCTTGAATCACAAATTCTATAGAAAGAATAGCATGAGAGTGCTGCAGAGCTCACCTGCAGACCCAACGAGTAACTCTAAGAACTTGTCCTATTGTGCAGTGATTGAGCTGCTATAATATGCATTTTAAATAAGATGAATGTAGCTTCTGCTCTGCAAAAGTAGAAGAAAAAAAAAAGATAGAGAAGTTTAAATAGAACTCAACATAGATGTTTGTGTTCTATTATAATTACAGTTGCAGATGAAAACTCTTTCTTTTCATCGTTTCAGAAGCTACATGACCTAAGTATGGAAAGGATACTGAAATGGAAAACAAAAGAAACCAATACGAGAACATGACTCAAAAAACCCTAAGGTGCCAGTACCCAGTCATCACCTAATAAAAACAGATATAAATCAGTAGGAACTGTGCCAGAAACTGTAGTTTCGGATGAAACATGGCTACCTAACCAGTTCAGAATCTAATTTTCGGAAACTAAGAAGATAGATAAACCTAGAGCGTCAAGAAGCACAATCAGCTGAGACAGACAAGACCATCAATTGAATCAAAAAACCCCATACACTCAACCTGTGATTGCAATTCAGCCAAAAAACCAAGTTACCTCATCACCGCACATCGATTCCAATGAACAAATCAAAACCTAGTTGATTTAGGAAATCCCCATCCAAATTTCAACAGAGACGAACAAACATCCGACACCATACTCGAAAATCCAACTTTGGCAAACCAATCTAACAAAAAGAAAGGAAAGAAAGTAGGTCTTTCGCTCAAATCCAATCATTGACTTACCTTGCAACGCAGAGCTTGGGCGATTTAGGGTTAGGAGTAGAAATCGTAGAAAAAACCAAGACTCACAGCCATGTCTTATTCTCTGCGTTCTGACCATTTTCCACAGGCGCACACAAACTCCCAACTTTCTCTCTCCTGCTTCTCCCTGTTCCTGTGTAAAGTGTAAACAACTGCAGAACTTTAATTGCCGTAAACAGAAGATTACAAACTAACAGCACTACAAATTTGCCATAAATCCTCCATTACTTCCTTCGGAATTTAGCTTTTTTTTTTCATTTAGAAATACCAAATTCAACATTGAAATCTTTTATTTACTTGATTCAATTGTATAGAACTGATATTTACATAATATTAATATAAAATCTACAATGAAAATACTCGCCTAACAAAACCTCCCCATAAAATCTGCCATGCAATCCCAAAACTAATATATAAAAGGTCTCTGTCTTACCAATAAAATGACATTAATAAGATTATGTCCCTCTCATTCAATTTTTTTTTTTTTTTATTGGTATTCCAAATAATTTGTTAAAAGACTATTTGTGTTCAATTTGATTGAAATTTATTTGTTCGAATTAAAATTGCATTTGGCTCAAACTTAATTCAAACATGACCATAAATTTTAATTAATTAAACTATTATTGTTAAAAGAAGAAAAAAATATTTAACTGAATAGTTTTGGGATGCCACATCCATGTCGCTTAAAGAAGACTCTTCATTTTCATTTTTATAAGACTTTTCTCACAACAGTTTAATAGAACTTTAGATTCTCATTCCAAAAATTTATTTCTTTCCCCACCGAGCATGGTGCTAATGCTTGGTGACTTGGGGCTCGAGGCATGAGGTGGTGACGTGGTCCCGGTTCCCACGTCGCCCTTCTCGTAGCAGCAGCAACCCACAACATTTGTTTTATATAGAGTTGTCAAGAAAGTTCGTTGTCGAACTCTAGTAGTTGCGAACAGTTTGTGTTCGACTCGTCAGAGAGTTTGTGTTCGATTCGATCGATAAGCAAATGAGAAGAAAACGATCAATTTTTTTTTGTTCGGTTTAAAAACGAATTAAACACAAACATACATTTATTCGATCGTATTCGTTATTGTTCGAAATATAAAATAATTAAAAATAATTTTACTTAAAAAAAGTATCATTTTTAAAAAATAATTATATACTTAAAATTTATCATATTTTAAAAATTAAAATACTATAAATTATAATCTGATCTTCAGGTTCGCAATTTAGGTTATATTAATTTCTATAATTTCATATTTATTTTCAGTTTCGTCTCTTAACTTAAACTTTTTAATAATTTTTATTAGATTTATTTAGGGTGAAACCTAGTTTTTTAGAGTGAAATTTGACATCTTGTCTGTAGATCTTAATATTTTATGGATAAGATATGATATTATGGTTTTATTATGAGTTGTGCTTCGACTATTTTGCATTTGTGATATGATTCATAAAATTTTAAGCATTAATTTCTTATAGGTTTAAACTTTGAAAGATTTCGAACAATTTGACAAATCTGTAAAATCTCAAACTATTCAAATAATTCGAATAATTTGAACAATTCGAAAATTTCGAAAATTTCAAACATTTGAAACATATTTCAAATAAATCAAACCGAACACGAACAATAACTTCAAGAATTATTTCAAACACGAGTCTACTTCAAACACACGTTATTTCAAACGAACCGAACACGACAGGAGCTCTATTCGTTTGTGTTCGATTCGTTTACACCCCTAATTTTATATTTACATTGACATTTGTAACACTTTACTTGCTCAATACCAAATTACCCTTTTTTAGACCCATTTTCATACATACCCCTGATACCACCCTAATTCTATTTATTTACCTATTTATATATTTTTTTTTATAATTATAACACCGAAACATAATTTAAAATAATAGGAAATGATATTTATGTAATTGTTTAATTATTTCGAGTTAAATATGAAAGAATAAATAATTGTTTGTATTTAACTCTTTTATGAATTATGCTTAAAAAAAATTGTTTGTATTCGGCTCGTTTGCTCAATGAAGGAATCGAGCATGAGCCATTTAACAACCTAAACACAAACTTGCTTGTGAATGAAAATCATTTTTTGCTGTCCTACTAAGTAACATGGAAACAGTTATAATTTACTTAAAGCTCTCTTAGTTTACTTCTTAAAAAAAAATAAGTATTAAAAAATGATAATATTTTTTATTTATTTTATATTAAAAAATAAATGTATTGAACTTTATGCACATATCTCTAGAATCTAAATTAATATTAATTTCTAAGCATCAAATTAAAAAAAAAATTAATGAGAATATTTAATAGTTTATTTTACGGCGCATCCTGGTGATGGACACACGTACGTAATATTTTTTCGACCTCAAGCCACCTTAGATTTAAGCTTAATAAATTAATTAAATTTGAAATCAAATTTAATTCTACAAATTTAAGTTAATTCACGACCCAACTCATTTATCATGAATGAGAAAATTTGACTTTGATACAAGTTGTTGAAAAAATAAAATAATAAAAATTTATAAATTAGAAAAGAAATACTAACAAATGACTTCACATATTAATTAAAATAATTTTAAAAAAAATAGCAAGCTCAAGGACTATCGAGCGCAATGAGGGCTGGCGCAAGCTTGGCTTGTTAGGATGTCGAGTTTGACTCACCAAGTATTTATCAAGTTGAGCCTAAGTCAAATTACATTTTAGATTCAATAATCAAAGAGCCTAAGAATTTGAAGGACAATAAATAAATAAATAAAATTATGTTTACTCAAATGAATTTTTTAAATGACATTTGTAATGATTATCACTATTTTAAAAATAGGGACATGCCAACTACGTTGACTAGTTTGACTGTAATTATTTCTAATTTGTATAAAAATCTCTCTTTGTTGGATTTCTTAAAAACTCGATGAACTGCCGATTCAATCGCTAAACTGGGCAAAGAAACAGGGTTGACTTCAAAGACTCGTCTTGTTCAATATTCACAATATATGAAGAGGTAAAAAATGAAAAGTCCCATTCTAGTTACAATCATGTTCCTCCCTCAAGCACTTCAAAGTCTATTCAGCCTTCCTAGATTGGTTATGATGTCATCATTCACCGCTAGTTTGAAGTTTGTTCGTTGTTAGTTCGTCGCCCCCTTCTCGGCATCTCACTAGCTATTTGTCGGCCACATGTATGTTGTATGGTTTTTGAACTTCAAAATTTTGTTTGTGCTCTCTAGTTTAGGATTGTGATGGTTTTATATTGTGTATATCATCTTTTATTTTGTGATCAGTTATTTGTTCACTTAAAAAAGAACTCAACTTACCAATTACTATAAAGAAGATAGAGCTCTAGTTATTGAAGCTGAAATGTCATATTGAATTTGAGAGAGAGAGAGAGAGAGAGAGAGAGAAGAGTGCTTGTGTGTGTGTATGTGTAAATTTGGCTAATTAAGATGAGCTATATAGTTGGTCTATTTCTTGGAAAAAATTGTATTGTATTTTTTGTTCTCAAAAGGTTAGGGTTTATCATTGCATTTCAAACTTTCGATTGCAGTGGGCTTGCACTATGCTAAGAAACCAATAATTTATTTATGTTAAAGAATGATATTAAGTTTATTCATGCATTATATACATGATGAATATATTGATGAAAAAACATTAGATAATTGACTTACTTGATTGATTAAATTTTTGAGTTGAAATGAGTTTGATTATGAATGCCTTTAACTCAATTTTGATCATCTTCTATGTAAGCTTTAGAGTTATGGTTAATGGCCATGGTTTATTTTAAAATTTTGTATATTTGTTTTATTTAGTTTGAATTGATTCATGCATTGGCTTAGTCTAAATCATTCGAGATTCATTTGCATGTCTTCTTAAGATCTCCAAGGGTGTTTAGCTAAATTTGCATCCTTTTGGTGTTAATTTAAGTGTTTTAGATTTAATATAACTTTAATGGGCCATTATTAAGTCATTAGCAATTATTGGATTAAAGTTAAACTTAGATTGTTTGAATTTATTTAATTAACTAACATGATAACCTAATAAAATGATTAGCTTGATATGGCTTCATTTGGATTAATTCTTAAACTTTAATGTCTTTAGATTAATATTCATTGATAAGTCGAGGGGCTAATTGAACTTAATTTGAGTTATTTTTTTCAATTAACTTATATTGTTTTATTTTTAGTTACTCTTTTCACTTTATTATAATCAAATTTGTGTATAAATTAATGTCATTTTAAGCATTTTTATTATTTCATTTTTTTAATGATAAAAGCATGTTAGAAGGAAATCCCAACAAAGCAAAGTTTATACTATATTCCTTACTATATGAACAGTATCATTGCCAAATCCTAAGTTTTGGATACGAAAAGTGAAAGGTCATGTTAAGTAATCCACCAGAAGATGAATCCTTTAATTTATTGTGTGAAAGCTAAGGCATTCCTTGAAAGAGAACTAATAGTCTGAATACGGTGAAAAGTGTGTGAGGGTCTCTATAGTGAGTCCTAAGTGTAGTGTTAATAAGCAAGAGTTTGCACATTATGGGCGGATAAAGATAAACAAGTTAGCCCATGAAAATAATATTAGAAAATTTTTTTTTGAAAATAAACATATTTATATCTTATGCATTTAAGAAACTTTATCGGTTGGAGAATTATTTAAGGAGACTGATAGCTTATGTTTTAAATTTTGGTACAGAAGTAGGATTCATATTAAAAATAGTATAGGTGTAATTATAAATAAGAGTTTGAAAGATATTATTGTGAAAGTTAATAGAATTAGAGATATAATTAGGTTCTAAACATTGTTTTTGATACAAAGATACTTAATTTCAAAAGTGTTTTTGCTCCCCAAATATGTTTAAATAGATATTCAAAAAAAAAAATGGAATGCCTAAGAAATATTGAAACAGATGATACTTTTTGAAAAAAAAAAAAATTTTTATTGTAGAAAATTTAAATAAACATGGTGGTAAAGTGATAAAAGATTTTAAAAGTATTTATGATAACTATGATTTTGGAGTGACTAATGACGAAGATAGAGTCATAATAGATTTAGTTTAAATTTTGCTTTTATTATTGCAATTATTTTGTTTTTTTAAAATGGACAAGCATATTATCACTTATAAGATTGGACATAATAAAACATAAATTAATTGTTTTCTTATGAGAAAAATATATTATCAATGTTGTAAA